AATTCAATCAACTCTGGGGACTGGAGTTAAATACACTTTCAATTTCGTGGTCATTTCATCATTTGTAAAAGTGCGTACCTATAAAACTAAGCTGGCCTGCAGCCCTGCCATAACCCAGAAGTTACATCCTCTCTGCTTTGTTTCTAACATGTGTACAGATATATCTCTACAAACAGCAATTCATGAACTTCAATGCACAGCTCTTTTAAGCACTTGAGGTAGAAGAACATGCAAGTGTCAGCCCTCTATGTTTCAGAGCTTGAAGGTTAACCTCATATACAATATGGTGACGTAGCAGTTCTTCATTTGAAAGAAATCGGGAAAATCATATCTGATACAGCCTAAGTGTGAGAGCAACCAGCGGGACTTCCACCTCTTCATTTCTTAATGACTTTTTTGATAATGAGAGGGTGACTTTGCCAGTCACTCTGGGCTCTATTATGGCTAATTTGACGCCACTTCACTCTCTTTGTTAATTATTAACACTAGCCTTTTTATCCTCATGAGACACTCCGATTTTTCTTTTTTTTTCTCCCCCGATTTTTATGAGCCCATCTTTATGAAGGTGAAAGTCTCAGAGAATAGGTTTTCATTTAGTGCAGAGCTCGGACATTTATTATTCCTGTAGGCAGAGATGCTGTGACATTGATTATATAAGCGCGGGTGTTCTTCGGGATGGCTTTAATGTGCTAGCAATGTGAAAGGGCTGTTAATTAAAGAAGAAGAACCGCGGTATTTTTTCACTTGGGAATTAGTTCCCAATAGGATGGTCATTTGCCACTTGCTAGCATATCCACAGATTAAAAGGTGACTAGCTCCAAGGGCTTGCCTTTCCGTAGTGTTGAAAGATGTGATTTGTACCATTTGCAGATGGCTTTCATTTGTCAGAAGCGGTCACTTGCCATTTCTCTATCAACAGGACAATGGTGGGCAGTAGCATGCGAGGGTGGAATCTATTTGCACTAGCGTTATAGTCATTCAGTATCATTCAAATACCATGTTAATTGCTTTATTATAAAAGCATTTCTTTCCCCTCCATTCTAATACATCTCGTTTTCAACATTGTTTCCTTAGATGCCATTTAAAGGGACTGCCCATCCCATTACCTCTTTAGTTGGCGGGGAGTGGATGAGGGTGGGAGGAGGCAGGGGAAGAGACCAATGGGACTGTGGCCTGTTTTGGACAGAAGTGAGAGCCTGAGTGTGTTTTCATCATCAGTCCTGCCCTGGGAATCAGTGGGTGAGTCTGTGAGGGGCGGGAGTGTGGGGACAGTTGCTAAAATGATGGTGCAGCTGGTATTCATCCCTTGAGGAAAATCACATTTCATCTCCAAGGGTTCCTAAGGCTTAGACTTTCCCTAATCATGCCCAACTGTGAGAAAAGACACATGGCCCAGACAGGGTTTTTCCCCTTAAAATAGAAACTGAGTTTTATTGAATCCCTTTCCCCAATAATTAGTTCGGTTTCTGGAATTCTCATCATGGACATGTCGTGACATATACACTAAGACATTATATAGCTTTATCTGTACCCTTTAACCAATTCTCTTCCTCCATCCCCACAACTCAAGACCCTATACATAAATGTTTTCTCGGGTAAAAATGGAAAAGATTACATTATTTTATAAATGCCCTGAGAACCTGCTTTTGTCACTGTAGACCAAGGCAGAACTGGAGGCCAACTGAGCAACTCTAACTCCCCTCTGTGCCTGATTCCCTGTGAGCAAACCCCTGACCAGGCATCGTCTGCTAGGGATTTCGTTTCCTCAGCTAGAAAATAAAGGTCTGTCTGCACCTGCAGAAAAACACCTATTTTGAAATATCAACGCATAAAGATCTTAACAAAAGTAAGATGGCAACCAGTGGACTATCCGAATTAGTCATTAAAAACCAGAAACAGAGCCAGCTCTGAAGATTTCAAGGCACAAGTAAAGTACACATTCTAACCAATACCTTCATTAGTTGGAGACATGTTAGTAATTTTTATTTTGGAAAAGCAAACGTAAGTGACATTCTTAATAAGTAATCACAATAATTTAAAAACCTCTCTGTAATTAGCGTTACACCACGTGTGCGATAACCGGAAGCACTGTTATTCAGCAAACTGCCTCTGGTTCCAACACTGGACCTTTCAGAGCCATCTGCTCTTGTTGCCCCGAGCTGGTTAAAGTTGTAATTAGTTAGAATGTGGACTGTAACTTCAATGGGGTCAATATGATGAAAAGTCAGGCCATGGCAATAATGTAAGGATCTTCTTGTCAACGGGGGCTGAAAGGATAGAAGCTTTATATTTTCCCATTGGCTTTCAAAAGGGACAATTGGGGAGCAGTATAAGTTGACATTTAACATTTGAACTGAATTCACTAAATCACTATCTAAATATTTCAGGGATTTAATAAAACAAACACTTCATTATTAACAATATTCATTATGCCGAACCGGTTTGGCTCAGTGGATAGAGAGTCGGCCTGTGGACTCAGGGGTCCCGGGTTCGATTCCGGTCAAGGGCATGTACCCTGGTTGCGGGCACATCCCCAGTGGGGGGCGTGCAGGAGGCAGCTGATTGATCTCTCTCATTGATGTTTCTAACTCTCTATCCCTCTACCTTCTTCTCTGTAAAAAATCAATAAAATATATTTTTTTAAAAAACCCACAATATTCATTATTATCAAAGGTGATATTAATAGCCAAACATTATGTTTTACTAGTACTAATATCTGAGATATGACTTGGTGGTTTTGGCTTTGGATAGTGTCTTGTGAGCTTGGGAAGAAAGTCACTGTATTCTATTTCAATTCCCCAGTCCACACGGTACTCCCGATGCCAAAAGGAAATTATGACACTGGGGAACCTTTCTATTTACCTCACTGCACAAAGGTGCTGTTTTTCTCTGAAATAATTGATGTTTTCTAAAAATCTGTTAATCACCACAAAGTCAAAGCCAAGATCTAGACTTTATGGCCCTTCCACAAATAGATAACATTCAAAGGAAATCAGTAATAAATACTTTTGTGTTTTGTTTGAGTAATGTATACCAAAATAACATAGAACAATATTTTATGCATTTAATAGCAGCCAATGGTGTAGAAATGGTTTAAAACAGGAGAGAAATATGAAAATCTTCTGAATTAAATATTTGCAAGTCTGGCTAAAAATAAAAATTCTGTTATTCTCATTTTAGTGGGTTTTTAAAAAATAGAACTCATAAATTTATACTTGCAATTTGAGAGCTTTTTAAAACTAAATATTAAAAGATGTTAATTTATTGAGTTGCAGTAGAGATTCCCCAAGAAAGCTTCTAAGAAATCTACATGTTTTGTTTATTCTATAAATTCTAACATGTTGCATAAGTTAAATGATTGATCATGTTCACTAACAGTTTGACTGTCAACATTAATGAATAAACTCCAAAATAAATCTAAACATGATCAATTCTTGAGTTTTCATGCAAATGGAGAAAGCAATGTTAGAAATAATCCTATATCAACTTATTCTTATTTAGGGACTTAATGCATGACACCTGTATTTTTTTTGGGGGGGGGCAGCAGGTTTATTGTTATACACTTGTCTTAATATTAACTCTGACTTGTGATTTAGCAGAAAATGAATGATGGTAAGAGACTGGCAATAAAGAAGGACATTCCAAGTATGCCAGCTGGCAGGAGGGAAAGAATTTGGAACTTAAAACCTGGAATGAGAAGCCATGGCCTGCGTTGTTCAGTGGTTAGAGTGTCAGCCCATGCACCAAAGGGTTGTGAGTTCAGTTCCTGGTCAAGGGCATGTGCCTGGGTTGCAGGTTCAATCCTCACCCCAGTTGGGGCGAATACTGGAGGCAACCAATCCCAATCGATGTTTCTCCCTCTCCTCTCTCTCTCTTTCCCCTCCCCCCCAGCCCCTCACTCTCTCTAAAAATCAATGGAAAAAATATCCTCAGATGAGGATTAACAAAGACAAAAACACAAAACCAAAACAGACTTGGATGAGAATAATTTGCAGAATGAATGACTAGAGTTTGGAGAAAGCAGAGCTCAATCTGGTCTCGAATGGGAAGAATGTTATAGAATAGGTAATTAATGGTCTCATGATTACTACAAGTGTTAGAGCAAGCCTCTCAATAGCTACCAAACTAGGGCTTAAGGGAAACTTAAAAGAATCATTACATAAAAGATAAAAAAATCGATATGTTAACAAATGACCCCCTGCCCTGTCTGGGTGGCTCAGCTGGCTGGAGTGTTGTCCGGTACATCCAAAGGTTGCAGGCTTGATTCCAAGCCAGGGCACATACCTAGGTTGTGGGTTTGATCGCTGGTTGGGGTGCGTATGGGAGGCAACTGATCAATGTTTCTTTCTCTCGATTAATCAATAAAAAGTCATCCTTGAGTGAGGATTTAAAAAAAAGTCCCCCTAAAATTTTGATGAAAAACTAGGTTTGTACTGATTACTAGGAGACCATATAACAAAATAACTGTGAAAATGATATTGCTTTGGAAAAATTATCTCAATAGAGAACCTTTATGATCTATTTAATTTCTAAATACTAAGAGAGCAAACTATATCATATCCTATCACCTTTAGAATCCCTTTCAGAAACCAGTATTATCACAATGCATATTAGAGAAACCTTAATATGACATGATTTCTATAACAATGATAACTTTCTAAGGTGTCTTTCAGAGATCTAAGTATTCTCAAGTGCTTTAGAGATGTTAACCTTTGAAGACTTTCTGATTCATAAGGTACAAGGAGAAGGGTGTCTCTGTTATCAGTCCTCGAAGAAGCCAGGAGAGTAGGAATAAGAGGAACTCCAGAGGCCAGGGAGCACGGTGGGGGTCAGCTGGTCTCCCAGGCCCTGGCCTGATACACTCAGGGAGGAAGAGAAGACATTCATGTTAACCATGTTGACTTGTTGAGCAGCTGCAAGAGTCTGTAAATATACTTTCCAACACACAACATTCTCCACCTCTCCCCATTTCATATACGACAGCAAATGAAAGTGCTTACTGTCATTTCTGAGGAAATTATTAAGCAGTTGGAAAAGAGGAAAACTATCCCAGGAATCCTGTGGCTGAGCCTCCAGTGCAGTATCCATATCCACTGTGAATAAAGCCCAGAACTTCTCCGCATGCTCCGCCAGTAGATCCGGCCACCAGGCAAATGCCTGTTAAAGGATAAGGAAATACTGTAAAAACAAATCACTTGTTAGGAACATACACAAAAACTGTGCCACTTCAATACACATCATTAAAAGTGCAGTTGTAGCTGTAGTGGGTTTGGCTCAGTGGATAGAGCATCAGCCTGTGAACTGAAGGGTCATGGTTTGATTCCCATCAAGTGCACATAGCTCGGTTTTAGGCTCATCCCAGCCCAGTGGGGGCGAATGCAGGAGGCAACCAGATGCTGTGTCTTTGTCACCTTGATGTTTCTCTCTCTGTATCTCTCCTCCTCCCTTCCACTCTCTCTCTCTCTCTAAAAAAAAAAAAATCATGCTAAGCGAAATAAACCAGTCAGAGAAAGATGAGTATCACATGATCTCACTCATGTGTGGAATCTAATGAACAAAATAAACTGATGAACAAAATAGATCCAGAGATATAGAAGCATGGGAAGAGATCAACCAAAGACCCTGTATGCATATATGCATAACCCATGGACACAGACAATAGGGTGGTGAAGGCCTGGGGGCAGGCTAGAAGAGGTCAATGGGGGAAAAGGAGGACACAGGTAATACTTTCAACAATAAAGATTTAAAGTAAAAAAAAGGAAACTAAAAAAAATAAATCAATGGAAAAATACCCTTGAGTGAGGATTAACGAAAACAAAACAAAAAGTGCAGTTGTAGTAGAATGTTGTAGAGCATGAAACCAAATGTTTTAATGTTTTCAGAAAAAAAGAAATATTGGAAATAAATACACCAAAACATTCATAGTAGTTATGTTTAAATTATGACATATGGAATTTTTATTTTTGTTTTATATATTTTTCAAATGTTCTAAATTAAGCATGTATTTTTAAAATATAGCAATGACGGCCATTTCACATTTTAATTTCTATTTTAGATTTCATAATTTATTTATCAATGCCAAATGTGCTTATTGTTTAAGTATGTTTATCTATAAAATTTCTTCTCACATTTAAAAACCATTTTATTTGTAGTACATCTTTTATAAATTTAAGGTCTAACACTAAAACACACTTTCATATAGACTCCTGACCCTCCAATGTGCATTAGGTCCTCCTAAATAGTCTCTCTGATACCAGGTATTTTTATTTCACAGATCTTAGCATTGTACGTATGACTACATATGTGAATATTTTTAATGTCTGCCTCTTAAATTAGACTTTATACTGAACTAGGCATTTTCTAATGCCTTTTAGGTAATGGCAATAATCACTTTAAAAAAATCTGTGCTGTTTAGATAGGTAATCGTAATAATCAATAATTTATTTATTTTTTAATCTTTATTGTTGAAAGTATTACATATGTCACCCCCGTCCCCCGCAATGACCCCTTCTAGCCTTCCCCTGCTCCCTGCCCTAGGCCTTCACCACATTATTGTCTGTGCCCGTGGGTTATGCACATATGCAAACAAGTTCTTTGGTTGATCTCTTCCCACCCACCCACCCCTGCCTTCCCTCTGAGATTTGACAGTCTGCTCTATGCTTCTATGTCTTTGGATCTATTTTGTTCATCAGTTTATTTTGTTCATTATAAAAGTTAACTTGGAAGATAGTGCTGTGGTGGAAAATGGAACATAACTTTCTCTTAAAGAGTAGCTTCAGGGTGACAAGATATTTTCATCAACTTGAAATTTTCATCATATTTTGTAGAAGTACCTTATTTATGCCTTAAATTGCATTTCTGATAATGTTATCCCTGATGGTGCAAACTTCCTGATGTAAACCAACCTGTGATGAGTGTTTATGGTTCTAATGAAGACTAGAGAAAGCTTTAAGCCAGCAGTTCTCAACCTGTGGGTCGCGACCCCTTTGGCAGTCGAAAGACCCTTTCACAGGGGTCGCCTAAGACCATCCTGCATATCAGATATTTACATTACAATTCATAACAGTAGCAACATTACAGTTATGAAGTAGCAACGAAAATAATTTTATGGTTGGGTCACAACATGAGGAACTGTATTTAAAGGGCCAGAAGGTTGAGAACCATGGCTAAGCAATCACTGTCTTTCCAAATAAAAGTCAAGGGCCTCAAGTAGTTGACAGCAGAGGGTCAATTCTATACCTATCCCCTCCTCCTTTTTGCCACCACCCTGGGTGACAGTCATCCAATCCGGGTTAAGGAGAGGGGTTGTCTAGTTTCCTCCCTAGAGTCCACCTTCATGACAGAGGCCTGAGGTTCCACAGCATCAGTCTCCACCCGGCAAAGCCCTCTGAGAAATGCATCCATCTGAAGGACACGGATCAAAAGTCATGATCATCTGGGTGAAAGTTATCTTGGCTCTAATGCTAAGTCCCTCATTCGTGTAAAGGAGATGGCAGAGGCAGAAGGCCATGTTTAATTTGATTATGAGGGAAATACAAAACAAAACTTGACTGTGATCCTTTAGCCACACCATTTCAGTTAAGGTTCTAACAGTAAATAAATATTGTACAGTGAAAACAACATATGAGGCAGGCCAGGCTGACCATGCTCAGAAAGCCGTGATTACTGAAAGAGGCTGAAAGCAGTGGCAGGTAAGAATGACCCCTGAAACGGAGCAGAGTATTGAGCGTTTGAACTTGGTGATGAGATGGGAGTGATCATGGGACTTCCATTTCCTCATCTGCAAATTGGCAGCAATAATACTTGCCCTAACCATCCCCAGAGTTGTTGCTGTGAAAATTCAATGACTATAAAAATCTCTTGTTGCACAAAAGTAAAAAACAAAACAAAACAACACACAAAAAACCCAAACAAAAGCCTCAAAACTAAACATCATCAATAATTACAAAAATGAGTTGAAATTTATACAGATCTTATCATGTAAATCTTGATATTTTAAAAATAGTAATGCCCAAAATGAATTGAATAGTTTCTATGTATCAAGTGCTGTTCTAAAGGCTTTTTATATGATTACTAGAGGCCCGGTGCACAAAATTTGTGCAAGGGGCTCAGCCCTCGCAGCCCCAGCTTCGTCTGGAAGGTCATTCAGAAGGTCGTTCGGTTGTCCGGTTTAATTAGCATATTACGCTTTTATTATTATAGATACCTTAATCCTCTATACAACACTTTCAGGTAGATGGTATAATTTTCCTTATTTTATGTTGTCAAATTCAGAGAGATAAATTAACTTGCCCAAAGTCATATAGTTGATAATAGGTAACAGAGCAATAATTTGAATCCAGGTCAACTGGAATGCAGAGACCAAGCTCTTATACATCACTATATAGGGGGAGAGCAAAAGTAGGTTTACAGTTGTTCATATGGAAAATAATATAATAATGAAATAATAGTACAAGAATAAACTCTGTTTTGCACACTCACAACTGTAAAAATACCTTTGCCCTCCCTGTATGTATGTATATATACGTATATCTATCTATCTATCTATCTATCTATCTATCTATCTATCTATCTATCTATCATCTATCTATCTATCTATCTATCTATCTATCATCTATCATCTATCTATCTATCATCTATCTATCTATCTTTTTGCACATCAGACCACTGGTAATGTTCTCTGATTTTTTCATGTCAGGGCATCTATTATGGTATGATTTCTTTGTGTCTTTTCCAATTTCTTTGAGGTTTGAGGCTTTTGATGACTTTACCTTCAAAATATAGTTTAACGTATAATTTACAACAAAAAAGGAGGATGCCTACATAAATGAACAAAAACAGTGAATCTGATTTTGACATGTATTATGTGCTTCCCCCGCTCCTATTTTTCCTATATTTTGTAGATGATGCTGAAAACTCTAGAGACAGTCCAGTGTCTAAGGTACAACCCGTCCCCAACATACACACGCCTCAACATGTGCTGAGGAGCGCCGAAACCGGTTTGGCTCAATGGATAGAGCGTCGGCCTGCAGACTGAAAGGTCCCAGGTTCGATTCCGGTCAAGGGCATGTACCTGGGTTGCGGGCACATCCCCAATAGGAGATGTGCAGGAGGCAGCTGATCGATGTTTCTCTCTCATCGATGTTTCTAACTCTCTATCTCTCTCCCTTCCTCTCTGTAAAAAATCAATAAAATATATTTAAAAAAAAAACATGTGCTGAGGGGCCATGTTCTAGAAATATTTATGCTGCTTTGAGGAGCCAGTAGAATGGACTAGAACCTCAGGGTGACAACTAAACAACTGGCAAACTAACCAAACAATTTTTACAAGTCTTTTATTGATCAAAATCTCTCCCTAATTGGATTCATACCTGAATACAAATACTGAAATAACCAAATGAGATGATAAACTGAAAATACTTTAAAACATATGCCAAGGTAAAGGCCTACTCTTATTACTATATATTCATACATTAGTAAGTGGTGAGCAAACATTTGGTAGGTATTTTTGTCCATGCAATTTTGTTTGACAGCTATTGCTGCAAATGGAATCGCGCCTCTGTACCTTAGGCATCTGAAAGCCAGTTGCTGGTCACCTTCTTCCAAAATGAGGGACATTTGTTGGGCCAGAGGCTAATCTAATCCTAAGCCCAAACCCACCATTAAAAACATGTTGGTTTATTTCACTGGCTATCCACTTATAAATACTATCCAATTACAATTAATTCTCTGCAAATGATTTTGGAATCAGACCAATTCATGCCCTAATATTGTTCAGAGAAAAAGATAGATTTTCTGGTTAAAAAAGAAAAAAAAGAAAAAAGAAAACAAACAAAAACTCCCAAATGAACAAGAAGTTAAACCAAAATATTAAAATCCTCTCAGGTGGCCCATACTTAGGTGGCTGGCAGTAATTATGCATGCAATTATTAATAAGACATTATCACAGAAATACTACAAAAAAGATTAGTCTAGTCAAAGAAATAGTCTTTAATTCCAAAGAGAAGAACTAAGTTGGCTTTAAAATGAACTACTATTAAAGTGGGGTCTATCTTATCTTCACTGAGTTATTTATTCCATGTTAGAAAAATAGCAGAAACAATTTTACGTACCTCTCTTCCCTGAGGGATTCCAAGAATTTGGGAGCATTGTGGAATGGAAAAGTGCCATAGTGTTACAAAGCATTTTGAAAAGAGATCATTATAATAGTTCTATATTTCAGCATATAGCAGAGTGATATTTATGAGTTATGATTATCTCTGTTCAATAAAGCCAACTCAATTTTTGAGGATTAGAAAATAAATAATATTCACATTTTAATTGTGTTTGGATACATATTTCAGTAAGCATTCAGTGACTGTGTGGAGTATATAACACTTACTAATTACATTTTTTAAAAAAGATTATTTTCATTAGTGAGGAAAATTAAATGTGGTTTTTGTGAAATGTATGAGCATATTAGATATACCTGTGTAGGTGAAATATACTGCAATTGGATATCCAATCAAAAATTATTTTTAATTCAAAAAGGCCTAATACTCTGATGATAATGCCGTTTAACAAAAGACAAAGACAACAGGCACATCTATTTTATCATATAATCACTTTCATTGTAACGTAGCGGTAGTACTCGCCTAGAAAAGATCCTCTTGGGAATTCATTTCAAATCATTGAAGCAGCTGTTTCTTCAGTTTAAAATAAAATATCCATAACAAGTTCACACATGACAGATGCAAGGTAAAAACTAGACTCCACTGTGTGAGCTAAAAGCAGATGTTTTGAATGATCATATTTATAACCAGATACAATAAATCTTAGTTACCTATGGTAAGGTTTCATGAATACTCTTTTCCAAGAATTTGCTTCCAATATACTTCATGTAGTTTCTTATATTTTGAAGAACTAGCCTTTATTAAATATAAATATTCTATAAATTCTTATGTATCTGGTTATCTTTTATTCTTGCTCACTTCATGTGCTTCTTCAAGAATAAAAGCATTATTAGGGTGCTGGCATTTAATACATTTATTTAATTTCACAGACTTCCCCCATCCAATTCAAGTCAGAAAACTCCTTTAAAAAAATAAAATAAACTCATGACTACTAGAAAAAGTGATACCTTTTAAGTCAGAATAAGCAGTTTGCCCGACGAATGACCACTCGATATCTTTAGTGAATGCTAATATATAATTAGAACATCTAAAACCTATGAACAATGCAGGCTTAGTGAAAATTTAAAGAAACGTTTGATGGTAAAAGCCAAAGACTGGAGTTATAAATGCCTTCCTTTCGATGTTATCTTATAGTTTATCACTAGCTTTCCTTTTGCTCACTGACTGACATTTCTAAACTAAAGCAATCATGGCTGCAGCAACCAAAAGTGACCTGGCATCACTGGGTGGGGTTCGTGTTCCAGGTTTGCTTCTTACTAGTTGTTCATCATTAGTATATCCCACGAGCTCTCCCGTGGCCCCCCCGCCCCCACAACAAGGCTATTGTCAGGAATAGATATTAAATCATATATGTATATACATATATGTATGTATATATGTATGATACATATATGGCATTCCTTTGTGACATGTAGGAGTTGTATTTCTAGGCAATGCACATCTGTTCTCAGTTTTCTACAGGTAAATGGCCAAGTGTGTATCAAAGTCTATGGGTAGGCCACTTCTTCAGTATTATTCTTACTATGGCAAAGCATCACGGGTAGCATTGAACAGCAGTTAAAACAGGTCGTCACCTCTGCATGATGCTCTTCATTTTGCTGTAAGACTTCTATGCAGAGCTCTGCTAGGTGAAGAACTTCCTCCAGCTTCCTGGCAGGAGCGGCCTGGCTCATGGTCTCTAGATGAAAAACAAATCATAATGAGGTTACCTTAAACATAAAAAGCCAAACATTTTCCAAAAGAATGTGAATGCATATTTTTGGAGACAGAAGAGATGCAATACATACAAACACATTCTTTACAAAAAGAACCAGTCCACCCGACTGCAGAAAACATTTCATCCACAAAGCAATGCCAGGGAGCTGCGAGTGCTCTGCCATTCAATATACAAGAACTAACAGGTGCATCCGCACATCAGATGCTCAACTTCTGCAATAAACAAGTTATAATTCTCCTCAAGGTCAGGAACACAAAGAGAGCAGATACCACAGTCTTTTCCTTCTCTCTGCATTGTATTATCAATACAATACCATTCTCACCAGATGAGTCATTCCCGGCATCGGCATTAGCAAAACCCATGCTTTTTTGTTGCTATTTAAATTCCCAGCCTGACATGTCTATAGTTCATGCTGATCTTAAATTCAACAAGTACAAAGTCACCTAAAACAACTCTGACAGCCTACAATTAACTGATTTCCTCCCCTCTGTCCCTGCCCACCATCACCCCACCCCTCACCCTCCTCCAGCTGGGGAGGAGGGGAAGGAGGTTTGTAAACATGAAGGTTCCTTCAGCATTCAGGCGAACTGGTAGAAAAAGGCCAGACCACAATGACATTAAGTGCAGCTACTTGAAATTCAGTAACACCAAAGGCAAAGTCGCTGATTTAAGAGATACAGCCAACTGGCAGAAATCAGAAGTGCCCTGTGTAAAGAAACTATTTCAAAATTGAATGTGAATAGTTTCCAATAAGGTCATTAAAGATGACCTTAGATTCATGGACCCTCCGTACCCCAGTATGGTGATTTAAGGAAGGGAAATAAAATTTGCAGGAAAAGAACTTTCTCTGTGGAACCAAAGAACTCTTTTTTTTTCCTGAACAGAGATTTTCATTCAACTTCTCCCTAAAACTTCAGACTTAAATTTGGAGGAGACTCCTCCATTTGCTCTTAATTTGTTCCCAAGGGACATAAAATGAAGCCATGAAACATTGTGTGCGGTGGTGCTTGTTTGTTAAATATTTCTTTTAAGCCTACGCTAGGTCGCTGTGTGATGCACGTGGGGGTTACCATTCCCCAACCCTGGAACACATCCTACTAAACTCCCCTGCGGGAAGAAGAGCCATCAACAGGGGTCAAGAGCACTAGGATTCTTCAGGAAAACGAGATGGCAGAACACCACATCCTTGAGCCAGCCTACAATGTCCTTAGCTTTGGGAAGAAGGAGGAAGTATAAGACACGTCGCTGACATGAAACAACTCAGACTCCAAAAGTCATTACAGAAAGGACCCTTAGCGATCATCGATCCAGTCTTCCATCGGTTTCATGAATACTTCAACATCCTCACACAGGGGCAAAGTCAAGGAGGCTCATGACTTTGCACCACAGTCTCCTCCACTGGAGGCAACTCCATCTATCACAGCCTGGGGAGGAAGACAAGACCTTTAAGAAAAGTTTGAAAACGATGTAAACCAAACACAGCAGCGATGCGGGAATGTGAGAGTGCTGAGAGCAGGTGGATTTAGGGAAGGAATCTGGGAAGGTAAGCAGGGCCTGAAGCAGGTTCTAAAAGAAGTAACAGATGACCAGGGGAAGAGGAGGAGTTTCTAGAAATGTTTGTATGACAGAGATGGGATGCATTTCAGAAGAAGGTGATGAGGATGATGATTACAAACATTACTATTTACTGAGAGCCAATTAATGTGTCAGGCACGGCACCAGGAACTTTCCATGTGTTATCACACTAATTGTTTTAATAGCTTCAAGTTGTTTGCTTTTGTATCCATAAAACGCAGAGATCAGGAGACAAGCTTGGAGAGATGAAATGCAACAGCCTATGGGTGGGGAATACCTTACATGTGCAAGGTGCTGGGTGGAATGGTGATGGGTGATGGAGCCGGAGGCCGGAATGCCACAGGCAATAAGTAGACTGAACAACTATATCCTCCAGATAACGGGTCAATGTTTCTCAGCAGAGCATCAGAATAAACTGATTTTAGGAAAACGTGTTTGGTGGTTGTACAGAACACGAAAGGCTTGGTGAGGTTGTGTGACGTGGATCCTGAGGGGCAGGTCTACTCGTCTGTAGATCTGTGGGAAGGCGGTAGTGGGACAGAAAAGAAAAGTGCAGGGACGCCTTAAGAATTGGCAAGCCCTCGTGAGTAACTAGAAATTGCAGGCCAGAGAAGAGGATAACCCTGATGTTTGGAAGCTACAAGGCTCAGAGAATGATGATGCATAGTGGATGAGACTGGGAAATAGGTCTTTAATGCACCAGCACATATGCTATGTTAGGACCAATTACTATACACAATTAATAATCACAAAATCGACAAGCACAGGCAGTTAAGATCTCTAACTGCCTGGAAAACTCCTTACTCATTATCCAAGACCCAACCTTAATGCTACCTTAAATGTGGGGCCTTCTCCAAGTTCTGGGGCTGAATGCTTTGCTCCGCATTCTGAGTTTTCTATGACAGGCTCAGAAACTGGTCTCATTATCTTGTGCTGCCAATATCTTAAAAAGGCTTTGGACCATGCAGGGTACTTAAGGAATGTTTACTGAGAATGCACTAGCATAATATTTGGGAAAAGTCATGTTAAACATAAAATCAATACCCAAATGATTCCATTTCACTTTGTGTTGGACTGCAAATAGCTCTTCTGTCACGAACATGCCCAGGGTAGGCTAGACAGCAGGTCCCGCAGTGAACTGCAGCTTGGTGTGAGAACACTGCTCAAGGAGCTGATGAATGCTGTGTGCTCAGATTACTCAAAACTTTTTTTTGAAAAGTGTTTTCAAAATAATTTTTAATTCTCAAGAGCATATCACTTATATTTCTGAGTTTCTCCATGGTTAGATTGAGGATTCTTAACTCAGGGGGTTAGGACTAGGTTTTAGGGCATCCTTGAATACCTTAAAGGTATATGCTAAGTTTTGTGTACAGAAGCATTTTGTGGGAAGAGATAGGTTATAACTGTCAGATTCTCAAAGTGGTCTGTAAACCAAACAAATGCTAAGAATTACTGAACCATATAATCTCTAAGATTCCTTCTAGCTAAGAGATTCCATGCTTCCCATAAATGTGGGTTTTATCTATGTTGGATTATATTACTTCAATATACTTATATGTGTTGATAACACGTATTTTTCATAGGGAGAGGCAACACAATTTAATTGGGCTTATCAAAGAAGATAAACTTATTTTTCCTATGAACTCGAGTACATTGTTTACTGAATCCTTACAACCATTCTATGAATTAGGGAATCATGACCCTTACATCCACATTAGGAAAAAGTGTGTTGGAGAGGTTAGAGAAACTATCCAAGGTTAAACAGATACTGGCCATAAAGTATTACAAAGGGTATTACATATGTGTCCTTTTTATCCCCGCCCTTGACAATCCTATTTTTCATTTTCAATTTTCTGAGTAGCAATAGCACACACACACACACACACACACACAAATGGAATATATATTTCAATAGAAACTTCTGAAATAGTTGAAAGCTTGAGGAGTTTATAAAGTCATCATATCCTTAGCCACAAGTATGCAATAATGGAACAGAATTACCGAAAACTCAAAACTTAGTTCTGTTTACATGTGATTATGTCAAAACCAGCTTTTACATTTGACACTATCTTAAGAACAAACTCTGAAAGTACCTGCATCCTATTAAAACTTAAAAACAGTCTTAAGCATTTTATCCTTCCTAGATTAAATTTACTGAGAGGATTTAAACTTTGTACTTGAACATAATGGCCACTCTGACACTTTAATAAACAGCATTTTTGTCAAGTACACCATGAATGCCATCTCCTGCTAGCTCCCAGGTGACCACAGCCCAGCAGTTTAATGCATTCTATAGTCAGAATGCTATTAGATAACAAGGTTATCAATAGTTCCATTAACATTCGGAACACTGAATATTTGTGAGTTCCTCTAAAATGTACACTTTCCCTCTTTTTGCAACATGTCTACAACATTACAGATGTCTCTATATTCTTCCAGCTTCACAAGTTGCTGGTTGTTGCAATACATTCCAAATAGCGACATTTCAAACAAACATGCCCCAAGCAGCAAGGTTTCTTTACTTTCCTCTGAAAACACTCCTTGGCTCCTCGAAGCCATTCCTTTCCCTCTACTTATAGGTCTACATTGAGGACAAGATCTCTCTGAAGAAAAGGTATGGAGGTGGGAAGATGCACAGAAGACACATGATGGCTTTGCTTTAATTCTGCCTCAGGGAGGGTGCATACTTCCAGCACTTTCTCCCTGGCTGCCTCCCTTAGCCCATGTCCTGTCAAGTCCCTACTGGTGGATACACAATGATGCCCTAGGGGGAAGTTATAAGGGGACATGGGGGAGACCCAAGATCACTTCAATTCCTTTTTCTCCATAGAGGATATGTAGGAATTTGTAAAGTGTTTGACCTTAACTTTGAACAGTCTGGTAGTGCCTCTGCTTGCAGCTAAACAAGAAACAGCATTCAGGATGGTATTGGGTTGCGGGACACGGGAATAATCCCATCACAACGCTGCCTTGTCTTCTTTTTCTTGCATCTTGGTCCTGATGACCAGCTAGGGTGCTTCAAAAAATAAGTCCTGTTTATCCACCCAGGTTTCTTGCTTGGCTCTTCCACATCCCCAGATTGTGTGGCCCTGAATTTGATTCAACAAACACGTTGTGTATCTAGTAACAACTGAGGGGATAAGACAATGAACAAGGAAATATTTCTGCCTTCACAGAATTTATGTATATCTCTCCCTAGCCAAATTAGACAATCACATATCATCCACTTTTGGCCAATATGAGGAAGTTCTGCAATACATCTCTGATAGAAAGTGAATTAAGTGCACTCAATATGCAAGAACGAGGTTATGAGAATCAAAGATACATAGCTAGGAAGGCTTTAAATTGCTCATTCATAACAGGTGGAGTTCTTAAGAATGAAATGA